ATAATTAGAAAACTAAACAGTCTAGAGAAAAAATATGTGACAGTAATATGACAAGGACTTACAATACTCCTAAAGTTTGAAGAGCCTGTAATAATTAATACATTTAGACCTCAAATGATAAGTGGGTAAACAAGAGAAAAGTTGTAAGACAGTAAATATCTAAAACATTTAGGGACAAAGAGATTTTATAAATGTTTAATTTAATTAATAATATCTGTAATAGATAGTATTGTTATCAAACTATTTTTAAGTGAGTACCCAATTTTAGGAAAAATGGTAAACATTTTCACGTAAAGCTTATTACACTACAAATAAATACAACTTTCTAGGAGGTACTTTGGCCATATATTGAGAAGGAGCAAAATGTCTGTACACCATGACCCAGTAATTCCATGTCTGAGAATCAAGTCTCCAGAAATAACTTAAAATTCAGAAATATCTGTACAAGTTATCAGCTTTTTTATATCACAACAATGTGGAAACAATCTAGATATCTGCTAATAGTAGATTAACTAAGTAAAGTACTAGGAAAGTAAACGAATATTAAAATATTAAATAAAATTGCTTTAACATGTTAATATATACGGATTAATTTAAGAAAACATATAAACAATTATATACATACAAAGTGTACACCGAGGTTCTCTCTAGATCAGTGTTTTTCAGGCCATGGGTTGCCACCATTAGTGAGTTATGAAATCAATTTAGGTGGTTGAAATAATTTAATTTAATACAAAGTGTCAGGGGCATTGTACCTAGTAAGGATAAGTATTGTTTCATGAAACCTATTTCCAAAGTGTAGGTAGGCATATCTTTCTATAGGTCTTTTTTGTTTTTGTTTTTAGCAAAACTACCCTGGTAGTGGCATTGCAGACCTTTGACCATTTCTTAATATTCCAAATTTCCTATGAGAGGTATGTTATTTTCTATTGTCAAAAATCCCACTGATGGGGCCAGCTGAGTGGCTCAGTTGGTTAAGAGCATGAGCTCTGAGCAACAGGGTCACCGGTTCGACTCCCACATGGGCCAGTGAGCTGTGCCCGAGCTGAGCTGCCACTGAGCTGCCAACAGGTGGCAGGATGGCTCAGCTGGTGAGAGCACTTGCTCTTAACAACAGGGTTGCCAGTTCAACTCTCACATGGGATGGTGGACTATGCCCACCTGCAACTAAGATTGAACACTGCACCTTGAGCTGAGTGGCCGTGAGCTGCCGACAGGCAGCCAGATGACAACTGGACTTGGAGCTGAGCTAGCTGCGCCCTCCACAACTAAGATTGAAGGACAACAACTTGGCTGTTTCCCTTCCCCAATTTCCCAATAAAATCTTTTTTTAAAAAAAAAGACCCACTGATTTTAATATTTAATTCTGAAAAACTTAGGTGAAAGGAAAATTATATTCAAATATTGTATGGAAAAACGGGACTGCAAAAAAATGATATAAATCCTGAGCACTCAGCCAAGTAGAGGAACTACATATAGAAGAAAAAAACATTTCGTGAGGATATTAATATTGTGATTTTAATCTTTGTAGTTTTGTTGTTTCTATGTTTTCCAATTGCTTGTTTCTTTGCTTTTACAGTGAGCGTATTCTTTTTAGAGTTAGAATAGAAAATAATTAGAATAGAAAACAAAAGTGTAGAGAAGAACTGGAACTTTACCTGATAAATACTCTTTGGATTGCTGACTTTAGGAATGATCTGAGGTTCTTTGTTACAACTTTCTTCATCAGAGGAAGTGCTGGAGTAGTCCAGTGTGGACCTATTAACAGCATAACTGATTCGTTGGAAAAGTTCCCCTTCCTCCGACCTGCCTTTGAAAGAAGCAACTGTAAATGGATGATTTTTCTCACCATACCTAAATAGGAAAGGAAAATAAAGTATTTATTAAGGATTCGACTTTTCACAGTTTTCTCTCTAATCTTTTATGGAGACAGTTCACTTACAAAAAGAGTTATTTTTAAAAACAAATTGAAATGACTTGACAGCAAAGCAAATTGAGAGACATTATCACCTTCAATTATTACACTGTCATAATTAGTGGGGGGTCTTCAGTAAGAGCTACCTTGGTTAATTGCTCAGATAAAGACAAAGACTAGTTTCTTTGGATTCAACTAATGGACTTAATTGCCCCACGGTAGAAAACTCCTCTTGCCCCTTGATTCTGCCTATAATACTTAGACATTACAATCTACTCCTGGCAATAGGGTGCAGGCATTAAAATCAAATTTCAAATATTATGCAAAGTCTTTGTGCTTCCCACTCCATCCACCTCTACTGAAAGTTTGTTGTCTGATAAAGTTTTATCTAAAAGCTTAACCAACCAGTGCCCTCACTGCTAATCCAAGGCTTTAGAGCCTCATGTTTCACGAAGTTGTACAGAGCTGACAAAATAACCTAAGGTTTCCAGGTGTCACAGGGCACACAAATTCTTAACTCCAATGAGAACACTCACCTACAGCAAACCTCAAAGGGATCTACCCATATGGTCATCTCTTTTGGAAGTCCCAGGTGAGAAAAATCCACATTACTTTCAGCACAAGCCCTTTGTAGAATGGGATCTTTATTCTGATTATTGTTTATCCTGATACACCTTTAAAAACAAGGAAAGAGAAACAAAGGCATGATGACAGATGCTTTAGCAGAAGAATCATGTCGTAGGCATACTGCTCCGATATACACAGCTCCCACCTCACCCTTGCCTTCTGCTGACCCCTTCCCCTCGCTCCGCAGTTTTTGGTTTTTATTATTAAATTATTTTTTATTATGAAATACACATTTTTTAGAATTAGTTTCAGCTGTACAACACAGTGCAGTAGTTATACTTTTTACCCCTCAAAGTGACAACCCCCCTCCCCCAATCTGCCTCCCCATTTCCCCCCAATATCATACATATCTATTACAAATCCCTTGACTCCACTCCCACACTATACTCCACATCCCATGACTATATA